CAAAAGTCATAGTTTTGTTTGAGATTGTACTACTATCAGAGACATGAAGTGATTTTCAATGTGAAAATCTATTTTCTTGTGGAAAAAGATAACACATTTACATTTGTAATTCTGATGTATAACTGTTTAAATAAACGAAAGTCAGTTTTATATACATTTTTATATAACAAGGAAATAGAATTCAAGCTTTTGTAAAAAAAACCATGAGAAAAGTTAAAAAAAAAAGAACTAGAAAAATAAGAATCATGTTAATTTATATTACGTTCATATATGTGAGGCTCGGTAGAGAGAACATATTCCAATTGAAATACTAAAGTATTTATGTATATATTATTTTAAAGTTTGTTAATCATAACAATCTACCCATGAGAGTATTTACAGATATAGCTCAAGTTACAAAAAAAAAGAAATTTTGAAAATTATATAATTCGGATATAAAAACGTGTATGTTTCCATAATAAACCTTTAAAGTGACAAGTACTTCCACTTTAAACCTCCAAACAATATGTTTCCATAATAAACCTTGAAACTAATAACATTCTTAATAAAAACTATAAAAGTGTCTTACCTGTTTTGTATTATATTGGGATGGACAGAATTATTAACTCTGTTAACGTCGTAACTAACTCCGTATAAAACGTGTGCTTTATTGCAATTACTTATATTTTCAATAGAATCATCGTATATGTTCTGAAAGAAATAAAAAAAAATACTTTAACGAGAAAACCATAGGACACGAAGAAAAGATGCTTTCTCTAAGGTCTCCATTGTATCTGATCATCCTCTTTGCCTACGGAGTTGCAATTTCATCATCGTTTCTTGCCATAGCACATGGTGACATAAACTGAACAACGGAGACAAACAGACGAGAAGCATTGGGCGTAGATTCCTTCTAGGTTTCAAAGAAACTCTGAATTCCCTCCTTCAGGTCCTTGATGAGGGTGACGAAGTTGTTGTTGATGCGTCTGTGAAACAGAGGAATCTGCGTGATGACTCTCACCGAAAGCTTAAGCAGTGTCAGTCTTACAAAACTTTTAGAAGCTGTGTTCCTTTTGCTAATAGGAGAGAGTATCAGTTCTTGGTTTTGAGGCTTATGCTAGGACTGTGACTTGTAAGCGGATCAGATGTAAGAAAAAATCTACCCAGAGATAAAATAGAGTAAGAATAGTTTTAGTATTTTAATCTTGTGATTCAAAATTTAAGAGGCCTTCATATGTTAAAAAGAAAAAAAATTTAAAATCAACTACTCCATTGTATTTCATAAGATAGCAATTAAAATAAAGTAAGAGTAACCAAAAAAATAGAAACCCAACATCAGAGCTATTCGAAGTTTTTATTCTGGAGGTTGTGAATCAGTGATAGACCTATCATAAAATCTATTTCCAAAGACTTCAAAAGGCCGATCTATATAGGGGCTCCAAAATGTTCCACTTCCACTTGGAATGTTACCGAGCTTTCTTATCTTCAATGGCCGTCCTCGTGAAGCCTTCTTCACATGTTTGGCTGGTTGGTTGGAGGGGACAGATTGCTGTGGAGCACTAGAAGCAGCAGGAAATGCAGAACTTGATTGAGCTGTTTGTAACGGCTGAGAGCTAGATCCAACTGGTGGGCTGTTTTTATTTTTTCTTGGTTTTGGTTGACGCTTTGGGTGAATCTGAATCATGAAAATCTAATCAAAAATCTTTCACACAGCAACTAGTTCCGATTGAATTTTTTTTTTTCAATACCTCTGCAGGATGTTTACGAGGTCTACCGCGTCTATTTTTTGGGCCTTCTACAACGACTGGTTCATTTTTACATCCGCTTTTAATGTGCCCAGCTTGACCACAACAGCTGCAATGTGAGATTCTACCGTGTCTTGTAGATTTACCTGGATTTTGTAGTGATTCAAAAGGTTCCTTTCTTCTGTCACGTTTTTTAGGTCTACCTCTTGGCTTACATATGTCGGGTATTCCAATTGGAGGTTTATCTACCTTATTCCACAGCTTCTCACCATTTACAGGGCTGATGTTATCAGCATATGTGTTTTGGAGGCATAAAGATGAATCATAATCAGAAACATATTTCTCAGCATCGTCTTGGTTGTCATCTAACACACATATTGCATGTTTGCATGGTATTCCTACATTTAAAATGAAAACAGCAATACAGAACATAGATTAAGTATGAGAGAATCATTAGAAAAAGTTAACAGCGAGATATGAAAGCTAAACATCAAAAAGAATTTGTGTTGGTTCCACATACCTATTCTCGCATCAGAACACAACTCTGAGATATCACCATTAATATCCTCAAACACATAATTGATATTCTTCATCTCCTCACTTGTTTCTTTGTACCAAATCAATCTTAACACTGTCACAATGCCTTCAGCTTTATTGAAATCTTTAAACTTCTTCCAATTGATTTCAGACATTTTCCATAAAACCGTTGTAAAGCCTGACTCCTTAAGATAAATATAATCATCAGCTTCTTTCTTCAATGTTCCACCAAAGTGGATATTTAGTTGCAACGTCTCTTCGTCACTGCATTGTAAGCAAATAAAGTTTATCAGTATACACCATTCATAAGAAAAAAAGTCATATCATACTCAGATGAGACGTAAACTGGAATAAGAAGATTAAAATATCTTTTGAAGAATACACCACACACGATGAGACGTAAACGGGAATAAGAAGATTGAAATATTAGAATTATCTTACTCCATGTCGGCTATAACATACTACGAACTCTTCTTCACTTTTTAGTTTTCTCTTTAGGTTTTTTATTAAGTTTTTTCACGAACACTGATGATGGCTCAACCCTAAACTGATACAAGGATCTTAAAATATAATTTGTTAAAAATATAAGTAATTACAGTACGGCACATATTTTACCAAAAGGAGACAGAGTTAGTTACGACGTTAAGAAAATTTATAACTCTGTCAATCTTTTTTTTTTTTAACGTCTGATTAATTATGCTATTACAACGATGAGAATATTACATAGACGATTTTACAGCCGACAATTCTACCATAAAGTCAGGCTTGGATGGTACGTCATGCACCAAGCTGAAGATCTCTTGTAACTTGTTTCTCCATAATCTGCATAATTTGTTTTTTCTGGGGTTTGAACCCCAGACCTCCAGGTGTAGAAGCATTAATGAACCCTTAGTCAAACCACTGGACCAAGGGGGCTTCCACAACTCTGTCAATCTTAATATTATATAAAACACGTGAGCCAATGTCANGATGGTACGTCATGCACCAAGCTGAAGATCTCTTGTAACTTGTTTCTCCATAATCTGCATAATTTGTTTTTTCTGGGGTTTGAACCCCAGACCTCCAGGTGTAGAAGCATTAATGAACCCTTAGTCAAACCACTGGACCAAGGGGGCTTCCACAACTCTGTCAATCTTAATATTATATAAAACACGTGAGCCAATGTCAAGGTTTTTGTTAAAAATGTCTTTAATTTCAAAGTTTATTATGGAAATATAATATTTGGAGGTTTAAAGTGGAAGTATTTGCCCTTTTCAATGTTTTTCATGGGATTTTCCCTGCAGGTAAATATTCATTTAAGAGAATTTAATCACAATTTACATACATTTAATATTAAAATTATTTATGAAATATATACTTTTATACAATGTGTTAAGTTTATGATCCAATCTGTTATTTAGGTTTAAAAATGTGACTGATAAAAAAAAATGNAAAGTGGAAGTATTTGCCCTTTTCAATGTTTTTCATGGGATTTTCCCTGCAGGTAAATATTCATTTAAGAGAATTTAATCACAATTTACATACATTTAATATTAAAATTATTTATGAAATATATACTTTTATACAATGTGTTAAGTTTATGATCCAATCTGTTATTTAGGTTTAAAAATGTGACTGATAAAAAAAAATGTTACTAAGATAATAGTTTATTTTAATATGTTGATAATCATTATAGTTTTATGATTTAGAAAACTTAGAATACAAAAACATTAAATGATCCGTGCGAATCACGGGAAATAATACTAGTAGATGCTAAATCCAGAGCAAGATAGTCGTTTTTGCAGATTACCTCGTCATCCCAATGAACATTCAATCTCCAGACACCATTCTGTTATTATTTTGCATTGACTGATCGGATTCAAGTTTTACTATTTTGAAAAATGATATGAATAAATTTCAAAATAAAATTGATGTGAATAAATTTCAAAAAAAAAATGATGTGAATATAGGCGTAAATGCATTCCTTTTGAAGAGACACATGTGCTAATATAAACACACTTTTATTAAAAGACAAGTATTAAATTATTTAAAAATTAATATTTTTTTAAGAAAATAATTGATAAGAAGTAACTATAGGTTGAAGAAAAATTCAACAATTTCAATAACCAAAAATTCAAATATCACATCACTTTGAGCAAAAAAAAAAATATATATCACAACACTTTTATGGGCCATATTTTTTCTACTATTTTAAACATTCCAATACAAACCGCCACTACCATTTTAAAGTATTTTTAACAGTCTGACTGGAAACTTTTCAACACTTGGAAAAAATCTCGTTGTAAAAGGTTTGAACTAGAAAAATAAAATAGTATAAATATGCATGCAGAAGTCCATAGAGTTCATCACAGTTCTCATCAAATACCAATTATCAACCAAGTAATAAAAGCGAGAAGTGCTATAGGAAAAGAGATTATACTAAGAGAGCCACGTCATATCAGTCACGTCATCAAGAGGAAGCAATTATATAGCTTGAGAAAACAGAAGTTAGAGTCATCGAAAAATTATCAAGAAAGTGTTTTCTTCTTCATCTCTTTTCTGAGTCTTTTCTTGGTGATTTTCCTAGAAAATCACCATTGATTCCTCATCTTCGCTCTAGAGTGTTTCTACATGTATCTCTTGGCAAGTGAGAAGTGGATTGGTGTTTCATGAACATTTAATCCAAATATATCGAGTTACTATTCATCATCTTCTTCCCTGTTATGTTTTACTGTAACAAGAAGAAAAGAAATATCGATCATGTCAACTACTCCACAATGGTTCATGATTGGAGGAGAAGGTCCTGAGAGTTACAACCAACATTCCTCGTATCAGGTATATTTATTTACACATATATATATATGTGTGTGGTTTCCAAACATTAGGAATTCATTTGTATGCATTAACAAAATCTTTTCTATAAATATGGTTTTACAGAGAGCTTTGTTGGAAGCCGCAAAAGAAAAGATGAACGAGGCTATCTCTGCCAAACTCAGCATCGACTTGATATCCAATCGCTTCAGTGTTGCGGATTTTGGCTGCGCAAGTGGACCAAACACTTTTACCGCAGTCCAAAACATAATAGATGCAGTACAAGACAAGTACCGCAAAGAAACCGGACAAAACCCTGTTGAGAACATCGAGTTCCAAGTCCTCTTTAACGACTTTACAACCAACGATTTCAACACTCTCTTTCAGGCACTTCCTGCGGAGAGAAGAGAAGGTACTATAGCGCTGGTGTTCCGGGCTCCTTCTTCGGTCGGGTTCTCCCTAAGCAGAGTTTCCACATAGGAGTTATCAATTATGCTTTCCATTTCACCTCCACAATCCCTAAAGGGATCACCGACCGCGACTCTCCACTGTGGAACAGAGACATGCATTGCACCGGGTTTAACGAAGCCGTCAAGAAAGCATATCTTGATCAATACTCGGTCGACACCAAGAATCTGCTAGACGCTAGAGCTGAAGAGCTTGTCCCCGGGGGATTAATGTTGCTCTTTGGTTCAGGTCTAAGAGACGGGGTTAAGATGTCAGAGACCCCTAAAGGAATGGTGATGGATTTTATTGGAGCTTCTCTAAACGATCTTGCTCAACAGGTACATATATATAATTAACTATTTTTTGTACATATCCCTTTTTAGCAACATACACATATATATCTCCAAGACTACAATTACATAACTATAGTAACCTAACGATATTTATGATTAAAAAATAGGGTGTCATCGAGCAAGACAAGGTTGACACTTTTAGCACACCACTTTACATTGCAGAAGAAGGCGAGATAAGGCAAATCATAAAAGAGAATGGGAAGTTCACAATGGAGGCTTTTGAGGATATCATTCACCCATATGGTGAGTTTCCACTTGACCCGAAGATATTGGCCGTTTCCACCAGGGCCTCTTTTGGAGCTTTCATAACTGCACATTTTGGAGCAGATGCAATGAGGAACGCCTTTGAACTCGTCGAGGTCAAGGCACGGGAAGAGTTTTCTGGCATCCAAAATGCCAAACCAGGAATGCAGTACCTCATCGTGCTTCGCAAGAACTGATCATTCAACATATATTATTGATTTTTATGATAGTCCAATGTAATGTGTGTTTTCATCGTTGTAATTCTTCTTATTTCATCTCATGGTGTGTTTGTCTCTTGTTGTTTACTTCTTACTGTTGTTGTGTTAGTGCTTATGTACGTATTCTCCATATCCTACAACTTAATAAATGCAGATTGAATAGATTTACTTTCCCTTAGATTTATCTGTATCATCTAGGCAAAATAAAAAGCTAAGAGCAGCATCAAAGCAGGAGTGCTTTTTTTTTTTTAATTTTTAATTTTTAATTTTTTTTTTGTTTTTTCTCTAAAAAAAATAAAATAATAAAATAATCAATCGTGGGCCACCACGTGGCATGAGGCCCACAAACAGAACAAGCTTGCTGCTTATTCTGGTGTTTTGGCAACGGTATTTCTCCTTTTTTTTCTCTTTTTTTTGTGGCCCCCCTCCTAAGCNAACCCCCCCCCCCCCCCTAACACGCATTTGTGTCGACAAGATTGGTACTACACGAAAATTGGTACTACACGAAAATGTTATGGAAAAATAATATCAGGTTGGTGGAAGATTCTCAAGACAAAATCTTTTGATATAAACGTATAATTACATACAAGTTTCCTACATTAAAGCACATATTATATATGTATATACATTTTCACAAATAAAGTTAATACTCTGAATTTATATATATATATAACTATTATCAGAAATATCGAAAATGTCATTAAAAATAGAGATTCACGGTTTCTAAGCTTGACCAGTCTCGGTCGATATTTCCTGCACATCTTGCAAATGTATACATGAATTGAGCTTGTCTTCAAAATAGAAGTTGTATATTCTACCATCAGATAGTATCTGCAGCACGTCAGTCCCTTTTTCAAACTCACCACTAAAGTCGTAATCATAACCATATCGGCATCTTCTTTATGATATTTCGTCCTCCAAAAAAATAGCAATTGCACAAGTAACTGAAATTCAACAATAAATTAATTAAACAACCACCAATTTGTCGTTACAAACTGTCACTAGCATTACTCCTCTCTGTTTTCCTCGTGTTCTCGTCTTCAGATCTCTCCGTTTTTTGCATGTCTCAGTTTACTTTTAACCTATCATCCGATTATTGAAGATTTTATTGATACTTGTTGACTACATGTTAGCTCTAAAGTAGAACGGTTTCAGGTTCGATTACTTTTGCTTCCACGGAATTTCATAACGGATGTTCTGCCGCTAGTTTTTCCTAAACGAGACCTATAGCCCAATTGTTACACCAATTGCTATATGTTTTAACAGCGCTTGAGAGTTCTCACCTTCTTTAATTTTGGTTTCCGATAAACTTTTAACATTAGAACTTAGAAGAGAGGAGAAAACCCTAGCGTGATTTTCAGTGGTTTGTAGAGATCTCGTTGTAGATACCACCAGGAGCGAACGAGAGAAGAGAAGAGAGAGTCAATGGCGTATTCTGATAAACAGATTGAGAATCAGATTCTGGAAGCAGGGGAAAAGCTTATTGATCCACCTTCTTCACTCGAAGAGCTTCTTTCTCTCCTTGACGTGAGCTCCCTGACTATATCCATTCTTCTTCGGCTCCTGCAATGCTAACTGTGTAGATTTCTCGATATGCCTTTTAAATTATAAAATGATTTAAAATTGATCAACAAGTGGAAACAACATATTCATTAATTGTAATTTGATTTATGTGAAGGATCAACAAGTGGAAACAACACATAATCTTATAATAGAACCACTGCAATGTCTTTATTCGGCTATTCTGCTACAACCTCTGTGTAGATCCACACTTTTATTATCCAGCTACCATATTTTAATGCTTCTTCTTTATTAGAGTTAACATGCGCCTGCAAATACATACGAGAACACATGTAATGTCACAACAATATATATATCCATTTTAATATCTGGCTATACTGTTAAATTTCAATTTATTATGGATTTTTAATGCCAAAACCCCTCAATTATGTTACTTTTGGATAAAACCTCTCAATTATTGATTCAGTGTATAAAGCCCCCAAGTCACTTATCTTAATATAACAACTCCTCCGTTAACTTTGCCGTTTAACAAAACGTTGTGTTTTGATTATTTTGTAAACTACATGCTTTCTTAATAAAACAACACAGCATTGCGACTTCTGAAAAATAAAAAACAACACAGCATTGACCTAAAACATTATGTAAAAGTTACGTGTTCTAAAAATCCTAAAACTGCCGAGTGAAAGAGATGATGAGCCCTACTTTTTTCCAATTCTGCAGTTTTTGAGTTTCAGTTGTGAGATTTCGTAAGAGGGTGAATTCTACAGAGATTTAAAGAGTTGTTTTTTTGTTTCGTTTGCCTTGTACCAAAATCGAAAAGAGAGGGTGAAAGAAGCGTGAGGCAAAGTAAAGCAAGAGAGAACGAATTAAAAGATAAGAACCAAAATAGCTGCTTAAACTTTTGCCAAAATGTGAATTTCATATATCTATGTGAAGATTGTTTGTAACAAGTTACAAAACGTGAAGAATATAATCAAAGCCTATCTTGGCAAAAAAAATTGAAAATAAGGTCAAAGCTAAACTAGATGATACTTAAATCATTAAGATGGCAATGTAAAATCTCCAAGATGGCAAGGAGAGAAGAAAGTCTTCGAAGGAATTTGGCAGAGGTGACGACACAGTGAAATTCTGGCCACTAACGGAAGAAGAAATTGCATGGGAGGGACCACAAGATGAAGCATAATCTGTGGAGAAGAGACAGACTTAGACAAGTACCAACATGAGCCATATAAAGAACAGAGCAAAGCAGGAACAAAATTGGCTACTTTAGCTTTCATGAATGAAAAAGAAGAGGATTGGAGAAACCTAAAAGAACCCTAAAATTTTTGATTTGGGAATTTTGGAATGAGATAAGAAGAGAAACGAATGCTGTGACGTTTCTGGTTTTAATTGAATTGCTGCGTTTTGAACTTGACGACAAATCACTGCTTCTAACGTCAGTGTAAACAGAGGAGTCGAATTGTTAAGATAAGTGACTTGGGGGGTTTTATACATTAAATCAATAATATAGGAGTTTTTATCCAAAAGAAACATAATTGAAGGGTTTTGGCATTAAAAATCCATTTATTATCAACTTAACCACCTACGTATATTTTATAATAAATAAATAACATTGTAGTCTTGAAGTCTTGTATCTTTATTGATTGGCAATTATAATATGGATAACAATTGAAATTACGGGTCATGCTACTGTCTTTACATTTGCAAGTATTTAAAGATTAGTGATTAAGGTTTAGCATTTAGAGGCATTCACTATCAATGGGATTATTAGCAATCGATATGTTTCTATGTAACTGTCAATTATACTTATTTGGATGAATGGCACACATTTATTATCTGAAATTTGAAATAAATATTTAAAAGGAGTAATACTAAACTCTTATTTAAGCAGTTTTGTTCAATGCTAAGTATGTGGAAGTATTATTTCCTCTGCATCGCAAAACAAATTATATATGTAACACAAAATTTATAATATATTTAAAACATTTTATATACAACTAATTTATTTATAAATTTATAGAGTAAAACAAAAACAACTTGAAAGTTAAAAAAAAAAAAAACAACTCGGATTGGAAATTTTATCCAGTAGGAAAGATTTCTTAAAACATGTAAAATATTTGGATCGGAAAAAATATGGAGACTTCCTCATCTAGACACAATTATTGATGACATAGTTTTAAGAACTGATGATATCCGTTGTGTTTAGTTTTCAGAGAATAAACTAACCTAGATCAGCAGCATTCAGTCTGACGTAAAGATCTTGACCACCAACAGCTTGTTTCCGGATCTCAACGAGCTCTCCTGTCCAAATCACACAACCCAATCCTCCATTTCGAACATCCGCAGTCGCAAACGACGTACAGTTACAATCGCTAAGACACTTCTCTTCACATCTTTTGACATCAATTGTTCGATCCACAGTTGCCGTCTTAGTGTCCGGCAAATTCATATTCTTTAGCCGCAAAAATCCATCTCCACTACAGCTCAGCGGCGTCCTCCTCACACACCCCTCTGATCCGTCTTTCAAGTCCCACCTCTGCTGGTTCTTGGGAATGAACCCTCTAATACAGTTGCAGTTAGGTGACGTGTTTAGGTCACAGTAAGAATAAGACCCACATAAGTAAAGAGAATCGCATACGTCCGTTGGTAAAATCCAGAGCTGACGCCATCCCGGTGTTGGCGGGATCCACGTGAATCGATTGAGTGTATAGTCACTGACCATCAATCTCGAGTGAATGCTTTGGTTGGTCATATGGAATGAGTAAGTGATCTCCTCTCTGTTCTCCGTATAATTGTAAACCATGTAATTTAATCCTTGCACCTCCGGTAAACCATAAAACTCGATTCCATTCCACGGACCGCTCCTTTGTATTTCATGAGGGCCATTCATAAGAATAAACTCAGGCAATCCCCTTCTAATGTCGAGCTTGTACGTGTAATTCCCGCTTGACGGATCATCATAGGATCTCCATGTTGTAAGGAACCTGTTGCGCCCTGTTTTGAGATCGTAACCTAGTTTCATCCCCGGAAGCAAAGTATCTGTCGGAAAATCGAAACTCTGCCACAAGAATCCACTTGAGTCTTTGTTGTTGGAGTATCGCATTACAAAATTTCCGTTGGGAAGAAGCTCTGCAGTCACTGGAGAGCTCGCATTTCCTCTTGTAAGATTTGTCGACCAAACAGTGTTATTGGACTGACCTAACAGGACAAGATTGCTGCCAGTGATTTTGAGGGTTCCAGTGGAACTGGAGAGAGGGTTGTCTCTGTTGGCGACCCATGCGTAAGTTTTCCAAGAGTTTTTCTTATACCATATTCCGAGATACCAACGCGAGCGTCCCAAGGGTTTGAAGAAACCAAGCTCGAAGACTCCGCCGGGAGATACAAGTGTTCTCTTGCTTGAGATTGTGAGAGACTCTGAAGACGACAAAGTGTTGACATAGGTCGAAAGGGCTGGATGAAATAGAATCAAGACAAGGAAGACTAGCAAGAGCGAGAAGGTGTAATGGTGGTAAATGTTCTTGACCTTTTTCATCTCTCCCCACTCACTCACTTTCTTTCTTTTCTTTTTTTCTTGTTATTAGTTTTGTTTCCTAACTTGCATATATATATACATCCTAAGTTACGTCGCAAGAAAATTCGAAATTCAATTATTATGACGAACCTAGCTAGCAAGCAAAATGTTGTGTTCCATAATCCACGACTTTTTCATCCTATCAATTAATTCACTTCCACAAACTTGTATCATTCGTCAACTACTTTTATATCTACACGTTATTAGTTCTCACGCTGCTAACATTGCATACTTTCGAAAAGAAAACACAGCATATGGTATTCCGCAACTATTGTGTTCTCAATAGTATGATTCGATACATTCAAAGTTTATTGAAAACTTTCGTATCATTTAGTCTAACGATCATGGAACAAAAACTTTCGTACTACAAAAGTTTTCAATATACTTTGAAACTGGACTAGAGGAAACAAAAGCTAGTAATCATCATGATGTCACATAATTAAACTTGGCTCGTCTTAGCCCGTAGTTTCTCTCTTTCTGCCGCCAAGTTTCAGAAAGAAAGAGATTGCGAGCTAAGGCGAGCAAAGTTTAATAATTATAATGAACTTGTTAGGATTGAAATTGGCATTTTTCCCTAAAGAAACTAAAATACCCTTTAACCAGACTTATTCTTCATAAATGGAGAAATGCAATTCAATTTTTGTTCATCATTTTATTTTCATTCCAAAATAAAATATGATTAAAAGTAAAATCAATAATATTATAAACTTATTTCACTTTAAAAGAAAATAATAATAATAGAATTTTACATTCTAAATGTTCTTAATTTAGAAGCGCATGTGGGAAACTTAATCAACAATGAAGTTTCGCAAAGCAAATAACAATGCAACACCCGTATATCTAATTTAATACTTAAACTACTAAATGAAATATATGATACTAAACACTTAAACTATATGAAATATATGATACTAAACACTTAAACTACTAACAACAAAGTCACTAAGTGAAATATATGATACTAAACACTTAAACCACCAACAATAAGTGAAGTATATGATATAGTATGATACTTAACACTTAACCCACTGAATCAGTTGTATTACTTCAACCATGTGAGTAGAGCTCTAACATAAAATAAACATGATACTTAACGCACTTCAAATAACAAACACTAGGTAATAATCCGCGTTTTGCACGAAAAACGATTATTAGTTTGTTTATTTTTAGTAAAGAGATATTAAATCTGTTCAATCTGAATATATGTTCGGTTTTAGAATTTTTTTGTTTTTAATCTCTAAAATATAATTATCATTTTAAATTAATATTTATTTTGATTTTGTTTGATTATTTTTTTTTATGTTTTTGATTTATTCGGTGAGAATCAAAAATTACTATTATTTGTTTATTTTCATCTTATGAATTTTATATAGACGTAATGTCGAACTAATGGTTTCATATTATATTCTAATAGTTAAGGAAAAAAAAGAAAATTATTAAGACAAATCATTTCACTACTATTTGGTCAGTAGTAAAAAAATACATTAAGAAAAATAATATTTCAACTTAAAAAGAAATCAGATACTTCAGTTGTGATGAATACTCAGTTATAAGGTGCTCACATCAAGGTGCACATGTATATTTATGTAAAATTATATAAAACTAGTTGATAAATATATAAAGATTTTGTTAATTAATATTAAATAACATTTTGGTTCAAAATAACACATGAAAGATAAAAAAATAAAATTAATTAAAAATAAAATAGACTTAGACACTAGTGAATTTTTTCATATAAAGAAAATAAAATTGTATCCATAAATATGGGTGGGCAGAGATCGAATATTTGAGTATTTGGAGACATTCGTGTCAATTTGATCTTTAGCCACCTAGATATTCTGTGATTCGCCGAAATTTTTTAAAGTTTTAAAGAATATCTGAGTTGATCCGTAAATAAAAGAAAAAAATCTAATAATAATATTTTACTACAAAATAAACATTATTTTTTTAATAATTCTAATACATAATAGAATAAGTTTAATACACAAAAATATTGTAAAACTTATATAAACTATAGCATATATAACATATATATATATATATATATAATTCTTTACATATATGTATATATATATGCATATAACAGAACAAATTGGATATCCGTTCATAAAAATATTGGTATTTGTGATTTGCTTCCTTTTCGGATATTGTATTTCAGTATTTGATTTGCTTCGAGTTATGGATATCCAGAATTTTTTTGGTTTAAATCAAAATGGATAACGAATTGAATATAAATTTATGAATATTTTTCCAAGCTTTATCCATATACAATAAAATTTATATATATATATATGGTGTTTTCCTGCACCATGTGCAGTGAAATGTTTTTTAAGCTTAGACATTATTTACAAAATTTGTAGATATAAGAAATTATTGATTTTACGATTAAAATTTTATATTTTTAAATATTTGTAGCAAATTTTGAAAACTTTAGTAGTAGAAATTATATAATATAAAAAATAAATAATAATATTTCAAAATTTGTAATGTTATATTTGAATATATTTATTTTAAAGATGATGTATGAGTTATTACCATATTTAAAATTTTCAGCATAAATAAATATCAACATTAAATGTAAAATATGCGTTATTACCATATTTAAAAAGTTTACCAAAAATATAAATCAATATTAATGTAATTATCCATGTCATATTTTGCTATAAGTCATGTCATCAATTTTAGTAGCCATGTCACTTTTATTTTTTTTTAAACTGATTATAAAGATGACATGTGGATATATAAGAAACTACTGATTTAAATTAAGCAGTATTTACAAAACTTGTAAATACATAAGAAACTAATAATTTTACAATTAGAAATTTATATTTTTAAAAAATTGTAGCAATTTTTGAAAACTTTATTAGTAAAAATTGTATTATATAAAAATAAAATAAATACTATTTTGAAATTGGTAATCTTATATTTGAATAAATTTATTTTAAAGATGATGTATAAATTATTACCATATTTTAAATTTTTTACCATAAATAAATATCAACATTAAATGTGAAGTATTCGTTATTCCATATTTAAAAAATTTACCAAAAATATAAATCAATATTAAATGTAATTATTCATGTTATATTTTGCCATAAGACATGTCATCAATTTTAGTAGCCGTGTCATATTTTTTTTGGTGAAACTAATTGTAGAGATGACATGTGGCAAAATAACTTTGCAAATAATATATAGGAGATATCTATATATATAAAAAAAATTAGTTTTCGATTGGTAATCTTTTTGATTTGAACCGAAAAATTTAGAGTATTAATGGGCCGTACATGTGAATTTTAAATTGAAATATATATATATATATCGTGTGAACACATTTATGAAAATAATGTGAACACGTGATTATAATTATTATCAAATATTTGTAATGCTGACATGTGTCCATTATAATGTTTTCCTTTAATATATAAGGGATGATCACATCTAGTGCACTGATCCATCCCATGGATCCAATAGCAAAAGTTTGAAAAGCTAGACGAAGAAGATGCAGCGTGAGTTCACAACGAGACTCTTTGGAGAGATATTGGAACAAGAATTTGAAAGTTGGTTGTTCAAAAAAAAAGTTGTTAAAAAAAAAAGGAGTTTGAAATTTTAGTAGTTTTAACAAATATTTCTAAATTTCTATCAGATAATTTGTATTGATTTTTGTAGATCGTTATTGATTATTATGGATTTGCACAAGATTTTTTTCTAAAAGTTTCTCCTTCTAAGATAATATACCAAAAACCTTTTGGAAATTCTTTAAAGAAAAACTCGATGAGTTACACAATTTTTCTCCTCCATATATTGTATAACATGATCTACTGATATATTGAGAATAATTCTTCTCGTTCAGCTACATACATGTACTCTACTTCTTTTTAGCACTATTTTATAGTCTTTCTGTATATTCAGTTGTATAACATTGTTTTCTAGTCACCATTGTTGACCATATACAATAGATTTTGTGTGTTATTTCTATGTATTGCTTCATGTTTAATTACTTCTCTTTATAATTTTCATCATTATTTATGCTAACTATAATTAGTTCTCGAATAAGATTACAATGGTATAACCGAAAGATTATATGTTTGAACACACTAAATATGAAACTAACCTACAAATCTTATGAGTTTGGTTTTTCTCGACATCTTACGTCTAACAAGAAAGATATATCATGCGGCCTGTGTATGAGAAATAGGGTTAACTATAGGTTGAATAAAAATTCAAAAATTTCTATAACCAATAATTAAATATCACATCACTTTAAGCCAAAAAAATATCACATCACTGTCGTGGGCATATTTTTTTCTACTGTTTTAAAACATTCAAGTACAAACCGCAAATATCATATTTAAGTAACATTTGACTGGAAACTTTCCACACTTGGAAAAAGCCTCGTTGTAAAAGGTTAGAGCATGATTAACCTTGGGTTCTTAAGACGAGATTCTTAGCGGAAGTTAAGACACTGTTTCTTAACTTTTAACTAAGAACGCTAAGAACCGATTATTAAATAAAAACTTTAAGAACTGGTTCTTAAATGAAGACTTTAAGAATCAGTTCTTAAATGAAGACTTTAAGAATCGGTTCTTAACGTTTTTAATTAAAAATTAAGTAACAGTTTCTTAACTTCCGCTAAGAACTCCACTTTAAGAACCCCGGGTTAATCATGGTCGCGTCTTAGAACCTGTGTTCAAAAATACGCTAGACGTTAGTCGGACGATCGGTATAGGCCTAGCGATTTATCAAAAAATTAAAGATTAAACAGGGATTAATCGACGAAGAATTTAAAAATACTATAGGTAATATATATCAGTTTTTATGGTTAGGTTCAATGTAATGATTTGGTTTAGTGGTTACAAGTGTGTAGTAACTACTTACTAAACTTGTGTTCGACAGCCCATCTTTGCAAGTCTTTTATATTTTCTAATTTTATCAGTTAAACCAGAAATTACAATCATGTCCTC